ACTCACAAACGGCTACGACAACAGAAACCGAGAATAACGATCCTGATACACAAATACTTGTAAATCATATCCAGGATCCGATGGAATTGCGTAATGGAGATTGAATTCCTCCACCTCCAGCGAATCTGGATAAAGATTATAGAGGAAGCGCGTGAGATGATTTTCTTTTTTTTTTTTTTTTTATATTGGGAGGGATTGGATTGTGAGTATTTTAAGCCGGAAGAGTGAATGTGGAGGACTGGTTGTTAGTTATTTGGAAGTAAATGTGTTAGATAGGTCTAGCTACGTAGAAGTAAATATGGTTGGTTGAGACGTTATTGTTGATTTTAAAAGCTTAATGTACACCTGCAAGACTTCAGTAATTTTATAGTACATTGAATATCAGGAATTTAATTAGCTGACAAGTTGACTTCAATTTTATTGGTATCCATGGTGAATGTTTCTCTGGGAAGAGTCACACGTAGAGCCGATGATCATAGAGTCTTATTAATTTAATCAGTGATATTGTAAATGTAATTTATCCTTGTAGAGGGCTGAAGTTTAACAAATTGCAAATGTTTTCTCGTTAAGCTTCAATTCAAAGTGGTTAATATAATTTACCATGCAATCTTACTCACTTTTCCAAGATTACAGATGACTGAATTTGCAAGAGTTAATTTTATAATTTGAAAAGTAGTTGTATGATCACAGAACGTACTCTCAAGACTAATTTGGGGAATGTTTTATTATTGTTCTTCTTTTTATCCAGACAAAGTTGATCGGATATGAACATGTAAATCATTGTAGAATGCTTTCTTCGGGTCGCAATCTTCATTGTTGATTTAGGTTTATTCCGGGCACTTTATTGATCATAAATTTTATACAAAAAAGAATATGGGAATCCATTTACCTCAAAAGAAATAAAACGTTAAAAAAATAAAATTGATCATCAGTTGAAGAAGTAATTCTAGAGGTGAAGGTGAAGCTAGCAGGAGCGAGGCCTATCAAGATCATTGACATTCTAATACAAACCGAAAATATATAAGTATCCAAAAGTAAATAATATAAAAGTTAGTCACTCCGTCCCATAATTATTGTTCAGTTTGAGTTTTCATTTCTAGTTCAAATTGTATTAAAAGTGGAATCTCAAAGTGAACAATAATTTTGGGACACGGGGAGTACATTTTTATATCTAAATGTGAAAATGATTTTTATAAAAGAAAGTCAAAACAGATTTAGCATTTAGTAGTGAACGTGTTAAGAAATGATCAAAAAAAGATCTAAAAGATCCTCATTATGCCGTTAAGCTGACTGTCGATCGATTTTAATATATGATATTTAACGTTCATGGATGTTTCTGATGCCAGATGAGAACTGGTTAGGAAAGAACAAATGAAGAGAAAGGGTAAAAATAAAAAGGGGGCCAGGAAAATAATTAAATAACACCAAATATGGAGCAAAAAAAATTGTGGTGTTCTTAATGCAACTGAATTAATTCATTAAAGGCTTAAACACGATTCCTTCTTATAGAAACCCTAATCCATCCGTATAACGGAGTTGAATATTCTTTTTATAAGTTGCGATATCCCAGTGATACTGTGTGATACTGTGTGAGCCCAGTGATACGGTGTGGCACTGTGTTGATGCTTAATGCTTCTATAAGTTGAATATTCTTCTCATGAGCCCAGTGATACTGTGTGATATCTAATGCTTATGAGGAATTGGGGAGGTAGGGTACTCGCCCACATCCGGCGGTCCTCGAATTTCTGGTTATTGTTTAGTAAGGAACTCTAGACAACTGAATGAAACGAACCCGAGCTAGCCTCCAAAATCAGGTTCCATATCATATCGGGTTGGCTGTACTGGAGAAAGGATGATAGTTAAGTGGACGGAGAACAAGGGAAAAAAAAAGTACGTAAAAGGAAAGTAATCAATAACATTAACAAATTGCTAACGCATAAGCTACAAATATAAAAACAAATAAACCGAGCAAGAAAACTACCTCAAACAAGTTGAAAATTTGTAATGGAACACAATAAACAGAAGTGGCTTGAAAAAATGAAAGCCCCGGGCAAACGTGGATGATTCCCTCCATTTAGAGGCCAGAGAGATTGTGCTGGTGGATTTTAAAGCGTGAGAAAGAGTGGGATGGAGTTGTTGGTTGTTGTGCAGCAAATGATGAATATTAACACCTTGATAGAGGATGCTGTACTATTTTAACCTATGCGTAAAAACGGTAATTATCGAGAATCCTAATCCCACATATTGGTGCTGAGAGAGACTGAATATCAATATAAAAGTGTATGTGCTACTCCCCTCATTCCTAATTGATTTTGAGGTGGAACCCCATAAGTTTCTGTATATGGTATCAGAGCTAGCTCGCCGACATTCAGACTCTCAAAAATACATAAGAAATAGGGTTGAGACGTAAAGCTGTACTTGAGCTAAAAAAAATAGGACAAGCCCAATTCAAAAATTACACTGGACTTGTGGAAGAGTACTGAGAATCCCAATCCCACATTGGTATTGAGAGAGACTGAATATCAATATAAAAGTACATGAGCTACTTTTTTCATTGCTAATTGGTTTTGAGGTGGAACCCATGAGCTTCTGTATAGTAATTTCAATTATTGTAGGAAGCAAAGAATTTTATTTCTTTTTTACCTGTCAGGTAGGCATCTGGTGAATTTCTGACGACGCAGTAATTTTAAATCATGGATCGTAAGCTGTTTAATTTTTTTTGTTTTCCAATTCGTGGTGATAATTTCAACCGAGGAGTCTTCTTCTTCTTCGTCACAATTTGGGTTCTTTTTTTTTTTGTTTTTCTTCCCTAAGCTAAGGAATGGGTGTATTAAAATAGCAGGACATGGTCCAATGACGGATGATTAACAAAGTTCTTCCTCCGATGTGCATACATAATGCGGTATGAATTCTTCTCAATTTCATTTTAATTATATATAGTTTCTTCAAATACAGAGCTTATAATTAAATTATGAGTTTTATGTGAAGTCGCAATTTACAAAATTATGAACTGCACTCTATTTGAAAGTTTTCATGAAAAGAATTGATATATTTGTAAACTCTGGCCCTGCGGACACAATCAATTCGATTTTCTGATTCTTGCAGGTTAAGTTACGACCTTTCTCGTTCAAAACGAAAATCACTAGAGATCGAGTGTATTTCAAAATGTATATCTGCTTGAATATTACACAAATATCTTGTTATGATCTTCCTAATTCACTCTTACTAATTACGCTTATCTCCGTGTGATTAATTTCTTAAATAAGTACTTCCGATTTCAGCTACGTACTTTCAGCCTCTTATTTGTTTAATTATAATCCAGTGTTATGTGAAATTAATAAGATATTGTTTATTGCTATGTCTGTCTCAAAATTATTGTCCAGTTCGGATTTTTTTCCGTACAAACTGAACTAAGAAAAAAAAATCCATACTAGACATTAATTTTTAAATAAAAAAGTACTTAATTAATTATTTTCAAGGTCAATGACCACGGGCCGCCAAACTTATCATTTGAGAAGGAATAATGCTTCATTCATTTGACTGAGCCATCCAAAATGTTTAATACCAAACAATTAAATAAATTCACAATATCACTTTCAAATTCGTCTATAGCCCGTTCATATTCTTTTATTATTATTAATTTTTTTGGGTACATGTTCAAATTCTTTATTAGCTCGCCTCTTATGCCTCCGTTGACTGTTGACTATGTACACATTATTTGAATAAGAGGGATATCATTATGTTCATACATACTACAATAACTTAATTAATGAAAAATATATCAATTTTTCGTTTTGATGAAAAAAGGGTAGTCACATTTTAGCAGTACTCCCTCCATTTCAAATTGTAGATCGTTTTAGGTTTGAAGAGATTTTTCAAAATGTAGATCGTTTTACAAATTCTAGTCAAATTAATGACTATTTTTTCAACTTTACCCTTCAATAAATGATGCTAATATATTTTCATTTAGTCTTGTTTATAGTTCCGATGTAATTAATGAGGGGTAAAATATATAAATTAATTGTTAGATGATTGTCTCTTTAGTTTACGTGTTAATTCTAAAGAGACTTACATTTTGAAATAGAGGAAGTAAGAGTTAAGAAGTGAAATGACATAAATCTTAATTATGGTAAATCATTTTCAATACACGGGCTATATTAAGTAGATCACATTATCCTTATCCTATATAAGTTTATATTAATTGGATAATCCACCCAATAAAGTTATACGATTTATTGACCAGTGATACAATGATTGGAGCCACTCGCGAAAACGCGGTTTAAGTTTTCTTAAGACAAAGTGGGCTAAATAATTTTAGCTCGTTGACTCGTACGGATTTCAGTCCATATATACGGCTAGATAGGCCATATATATGGTTTAGTTATTTGAATTTTGAACCAGTGAGGTGCGGAAGAACTCGGTTCAACTCCTTGCTTAATTAGTTAATTGTTCTTACCAGATTCATATACATATAGAGAAGATAAAACTCGAACCATTGAAAATTGAACCCTCGACTTCTCGGTAATAACCATTCTCTCTCTTAATCCTCTAGTTACCCCATCAAACCCTCCCACCCCACCAGAAACATATACATATAGGGAAGACAAAAAGGTAAAAAAGTCAATTTGAAATAAAATGGTTATAAACTAGTTTAATTATACGGTTTATTACAAACTGCGAAGTTCTTACTGGTCATCTAGCAATACATAAGTTGCTTGATGACTAATTAATTCTTTGGCAAATCTTGTGATATATTACGTTCTACTCTGGAGTTTGAGCTTGACTTAATCGTGAAAGTATAGGTGTAGTTTCTCTTCATATAATTGCAATAATAGTTTGAAAAACTTTTGCATCTCGCATCCTTACTTGGGAAAAAAAATATGATAAATTGTTTACTTGACCAATTTGACATCCCAAAGTTCAGAGATGATCGAAGCAAGAGTCAACTACTGCCATTTAGGCCCCTTGTTTTCCAATCCGATTCCACGAAAAGGAAAAATTCTTCATCTCAAAGTGGTTGTATATATATCACCACTACTATTAGGATTTTATTTCCTCTTTCCTTTCCTTCCATTGGCTTTTCTTCCCAAAATCTATCATCAATTCATCATCGTTCCAGTTTGGAAACTATATTCCTTCTTTCAACTACAATAGGAGATTTAGCTTAAATGATTTACATTCACGAAATTGCCATTAGTCTAAACTTATCCAACCAAAGTTGATCAAATATGAAAATGATCATAGAATGCTTTCTTCTGGCCACAATCTTCATCGTTTTGATATATTCTCGATCCTTTCTTGATCATGAATTTTATGTGAATAGGAAGATTGGAAATCCTATTCCCTCAACGGAAATAAGTCGTCGAAAAGAGAATATTGGTTATCATCAGTTCCAGAATTCTACAAGGGGGAAAAGCCCATCAAGACCATTGACTTCATATGTGGTGAACGTTGACAATTTTGGAGCCGCAGCTAATGGAAGTGATGATACTCAGGTACATTATTCCAACCCGATTTTTGGATTGTTTTTCTCGGAAAAAATGCCGTTTCTATCCAAATCTTTGTTTTTGTCGTCCATGTATTGCATGAACTGTCCCTTGGGAAAATTGAAAATTTATTTTTTAGGGAGCAGAAATTTCCAAATGCATTGTATGGGTGAAATCTTTTATCGCCCATTGTTTTTACTCACTCGTATCTATCGTTTGAACATTTTTTTCTAGTTCCATATGAACGTTACAAATTTACAAATGGAATATAATTGATACACGAAAAATGAAAAAAAAAATGAAAAAAAAACGATCCTCCTTATGATACTAATTGTCCAAAAGTTGAAGTCAGCATATTAAAGAAGTCCGTGAAGATGTTAGAATAAGAAGAGGGAAAAAAAAAGGTTTTTTTTTCTTTTTTTTCCCATTTAGATTATGCTTCGTGTCAATACCTTATTCATACACAAATATTTTTTGCCCTTCAATAAGTTGTGACTTTTTTTTGCCTTTTTTTCAAAGGCATTTATGAAAGCCTGGGAAAAGGCATGTTGTACAAGAGGAAGCATTTTGTTGGTTCCAGAAAAAAAGGAGTACCATCTTAAGCAAATCATATTTGAGGGTCCTTGCGAATCTGGTATTACCGTGAGGGTACATATAACTTAATTTGTTTGTACATTTTATGATTTCATGATTTTATTTTAGAAAAAAAAGAAAAAGGTGTTAACTGAAAGTATATGTTATGGTGGTATTTTGATGAATATAGATTCAAGGAAATATCACAGCTTCTAAAGACAAGTCAGACTTTCAAAAAGATCCAAAATTTTGGATTAAGTTCCAGAATCTCACTAATTTCACTGTGGACGGTGGAGGTGTCATTATTGGAAATGGACATGTTTGGTGGTCTAAGTCCTGCAAACTTAATAAAAAACAGGTACATGGACTAGTACTCCCTCTATTCCAAAATTATTGTCCAATTTAAATATTCATTTTAGTACAATTTGAACTAAAAATGAAAACTCAAACTGGACAATAATTATGGGACGGAGGGAGTATTTGTTACTGTTTACGTCTCCAAATAATTATCCTATTTATTTTCTGATAAAAAGAGTAATTTCTAATTCAATTTGTTGATATACACCACACAATATGAATTATTTAAGTAGTTCAACGGTTGGAATCCCTTCTTTATTTACCAAACTAGTGATAATATAAAAATGAAAAAGGGTAGTATTAATTTGACTTTGACATAATTATAACGCGTGAGTTTCAAAGTTCAGTTTTTAATTTTTGTTTGAAAATGATATTTGAATTTTAATTAAAGTAGATAAGGAAGTGTTTTCAAGTAACTAACGTATATTCCCAATGTTTGTTGCAGCCTTGCGTTCGAGCGCCGACGGTATGACTATGTAACTCCATCAAATAGTCAAATCTTCAAATTGTAAAAACTTGATTAATATATATATATATATATAGAGCTAATTATTATCAATGATTGATTGATTAATGATTAGGTTATTATTCTTCTCCACAGGCTTTACTTTTTTCTAATTGCACCAACCTTAAAGTGATGCTTATTCAGATTGAAAATGCACAACAAATGCATCTCAAATTCCTTGGTTGTGAAAATGTTGAAGTATCAAATCTCAAGATAAAATCACCAGGGAAAAGTCCCAACACTGACGGAATTCATGTCACTGGTTCCACCAATGTTCAAATTCTAAACTCGGAAATTGGAACAGGTATAAACAGATTTTATGAAAGCGTCGTTTTGTATGTATCTCTCTTTCTTTTCTTGTTTTTCTTTTCTTTTTCCGAGTTTTGTCTACTACATGTGTTTTAAGAAAAGAATCGTAGTTTCAAATTCTTCCCACAAATTACTTCATCGGTCCCAAAAATCATTATAGTCCACATGGTGGTTGATTTTGCGGATCAAAAAAAAAAAAAATCTGCATTTTTATCTCTTAGATGACGTTTGTATTAGATATTATTGCCTTTGGAAACAAACCGAATTTACATAATTAAAGAGTAATGATAAATACATATGGCCATGCAATGCATGCAGGGCCTTATATATTCACAAAGCACTTTTTGTTTGCCTCATCTCTATGTATTCTTCATTCAGCTTATTTTCCCAGACCATTAGTAACAAGATTTTGAGCTTCACAGTGCTACTGAAAGTGACACCAAAATGGCACCTTTTTTTGTTACAATATAAACTGTTGATAAGTATTTGCCATTCAAATTTTCATTCATCTTTCGTGTATTATTCAACTTACGTACATATATGATCACAACAAACAAAGAGAAAGAGGAAACTTTACAGAAATTATGAATATTGCAGGTGATGATTGTATCTCCATAGTGAATGGATCTTACAACATTCGAGCCATGGGAATAAAATGTGGACCTGGTCACGGAATTAGGTATAGAAATACATATCTTCACTTTCTTGCTAGTTTACCCGTTGTCTTATCCAGCAACTTTCAAATATAACTATATATGAAAAATAATAATATTTGATTTTTTTCGTGACTTTAAATTAAATTAAATAAATATGTTATAATCCTATTTTTTTCTATTAAATGTTTGATCACACAGATTTATTCTTCTTGTGATTATTCAATTTTGTTTTCCGCTAAGAAGGAATATCCATGCATAACTTCATTTAGTTTGACACGTAACCAATTATCCTTAGCATTGGAAGTCTTGGAAAAGATGGAGATGAGGACCAAGTGGCCAATGTTTTAGTCAGTGAAGCAACTTTCACAAGAACGTCCAATGGAGTCAGGATTAAAAGTTGGCAGGTGATTTAGTCACTCCATTAACAAAGGAATTTCCTCATTGTTCTTCTTTTTATTTTTCAGTATATACCTGTAAGAAAACAAAAATGTCATAAAACAAACTTGACCTTTTGGTTTTTGATATTTAATCAGTAATTCCTTCTGTGTAGTTAGCAATACCGAAAAATTAGAGAAATTGTTATTGCTAATGTAATTAAAAAATTTTTGGTTTCAAAGGGAGGGCGAGGATACGCAAAAAATATTGTCTTCCAAAACATCAAGATGCAAAATGTCATGAATCCCATCATTATCGATCAATTCTACTGTAATAAAGAACAACGTTGCAAATTGCAGGTGACTCCTCTCTTCCTAATACAACACGATCAATAAAGAATTTATTAAAGTTTTATTTTTTTTCAAAAAATAATCATACAATGTTATTTTTTATTTTATTTTGTTTTGCAGAAAAATGGTGTACATGTGGAGAATGTTTTGTACAAGAACATAACGGGAACAAGTGCTTCACGTGAAGGGGTGATACTTCAATGCAGTGAGACATTTCCATGTGAAGGTGTGAAACTGCAAAACGTTCAAATATATCACAATGGACGCAACAGTTCGGCTTCTTGTTCAAATGTCAATGTACTAGAATTAGGAACAAACACACCTCAATGTTCTTCAAAGGAACCTGGAAAAATCAGAAGATACAGGAAAAAGAGAAAAACGAAACATAATCAAGAAGATAACCATCAGAGCTGAAACCTTTCTTTCTTTACCGTCTATATTTCGCATACTCTTTCTGTTCCAAAATTATTATCCAATTTGAGATTACACTTTTAGTACAATTTCAAAGAAAAATAAAAATTCAAACTGGACAATAATTATAGGAGGGAGGGAGTACATTACAGAGTGGATGCTCTCCTCTATTTATGCAAATCATCGAAGGCTAAGACTGCTAATTACAATCAGGGACTTTTTCTAGAGTATTGCTAGTAAGCGACTGGATTATTTACAAATTAAGGACCTAATGATCCTTCATGGAGATTCACAAAACTTCCTGTTGGTTATTTGCAGTGTTTGAAAGCGTGTGGCGGTTATCCTTGAATATTATTTGTTGCATTAAAATGAAGGTGAACAGTCAACCATGGATTTTGCCTTATATTTCAAGAGTCCTCCAACTTGAATACTAATTAGTGAATTATTTGTTGAACAATAGGTACTAATTAGTTTTAAAAGCCCTTAAAACACTGTGTTACCCCGATAGGGTTTTAGGACATGTTTTCCACAAAAGTAAAACTGAAATAGCTAGACAAAAATATTTTCACAAAGGGTCCAATATCTAGTGTGGTAACATTAGTCTACGTTCCAAGATTTAATGTTCTGGATTTTCGAAGAAACGTGTGCTTAATTTTGTATTATCTCAGAGTGTTAATTTTTTGAAGAATTGGTGTTTTATCTCAAGTGGAACTATATTAGCAATGATAACTTGCTGCAAGAGATATATTATCTCTGTTAAAAAAAAGTCCGCATTAAATTTTAAAATCTACACTATTTTTAGTATAAATCTCAAAATACAGTGTGGAAATTTTTTTGAAGGACGAAGAAAGTATATAGTAATAAAAATTACTGCCCGACTATATATAGAATTTTCGACAAGAAACGGCACTTGAGGTTTTCATTTAGGGACTTTTTCCAAGCTTTTAGTGAGGAGGACGCTCTCATAATCACGCCCTAAAAATCAGTCTCGTTTTGTTATTCTTATTTATTATTGTTTACTCCCTCTGTCCAAAAATAATAATCTCAATCGAGTTTTGAAATTTTAGACGGAAGTCATATCATTTAATTTGTGCATGTGAACGACTATTAGGCCTACGGGGCAAGCCGTAAAACTTCCTTATTATTAAGCTCCATGGTATAGATTGAAATTAACCTGTACATAGCTGGATTGTGCTGCTCAAAGGGGCAAATGATTTTTTGTACGTCTTTGTTAAGACACTTTCCCCACATTGGCTACTGCAAAACAGTTGCAAAACAGTTGCCATTCATTAGTCGATCTTCTGCGAAATGATTATATCTTTATTAAGGCGGGGACTGAGGAGTATCAGTATATGCTTTCTACATCCCGAAATAATTATACAATTTAGAATTTTATTTTTAATATAAGATCTACTAACATATAAGTTTAGAATTTGACAATAATTATGAGACAGGAAAGTATATCGTTAAGGAAAAAGTAAGCTAAGACATCCTTGTGTGTTGCCTAGCTAGCAAGAATGACTAGCAAGCATAAAGAGTTTACAATTGTTTGACCAAATTTCTATTTTCCTCGATAGAAAGATGCCTTGCCTGAAGCAAAGAGTCAACTATAATGCTAAAGCCTTTTATTATTTTTGTTTCATCTTTTTTTCCCCCCGTTTCCCTTCCTTTCGATTAAAATGTATGACTATCTTCCCTTTTGGAAGAAGATTTTTTGGGTTTCATGCGTTCTAAAGGGTTCCTATTCTCAACTATCCTTTGTGGTTTGCCTCCTACAGCTTGCTGAACTCATCTCTCAATTTCGGATAAATACATTATTGCCATTTCTCCTACAATATTTCACCCAAATCAAATTTAAGTTGCATAAATTATGCAAATATATGTACATCACTTTCTTCTTTTCACCTTCTTCACCATTTTAGTGCTTTCTGGTTCCTTTCTTGAACATATATTTCTTGCGGAAAAAAGAGTATGGGAATCTGAATTCCCCGTCGGAAAGAAGTCGCCGGAAAAAAGAATTTTGATGATCAATACGAGAATTTGGGAAGAACCCGATACTTGGTGAACGTTGATAAATTTGGAGCCACAGCTAATGGAACTGATGATACTCAGGTACATTGTTTTTTCAAACTAATTCTACTTATATTTACGAATAACAACCCCTGATTTCCCTTTTTAGTTTTGGTCTAGAAGCCAATAAAAGGGATCTTCGAAGAACCAAAATCCAAAATGAAATTATTTCTTCGCACACATTGTGTAACGCTTCATATTCACAATACTAAAGATAGAAAAAAAGCCGATACACAAGATTTTATACGTCATAAAACTTTCATTATATTTAAATCTTTCACTTAGTTTAATTTGCGAGGGCAATTTTTTCACTTAGTTTCTTCGCAGGCATTTATGAAAGCTTGGGAGAAGAAGCATTCTTTCGGTTGCAGCTGGAAAACAAGATGACAATGATTTTTTGAAACTATATATGTTTCCATAATTAAATGATTGTCAAAAATAATCTTTTGTGGGTTGTTTCCGATCAATAGATTCAAGGAAATATCATCGCCTCAACAGAGAGATCTGGCTTTAAAGATCTTGGCCCTGATCCCTTTTTTTGGATTATGTTTGAAAATCTCAGGAAACTTTACTGAAGATGGTGGCGGGGTTATTATTGGAAATGGACAAGTTTGGTGGCCTAAGTCCCGCAAAATTGACAAATCACAGGTTCGTATCTACCAATTTGTTAGTGAAAGACGTATGCATTTTGCCTCCTTCATTGCTAATAAACAATAATGTAAGAATATTCGCAATATGTACGCATACGAAATATCAATTACGATCGAGTAGTTAAGCAGTAGTTAACTTATTTATTTATAACCCACTAGGGCTTTTGAATTTGACTTAGAACTCCTGATTATTGTTTTTGTTAGATAATGATTTTTGGAGCTTTAATTTAACAGAATACAGTAGTTAGAATGAGTTTTCCAAGTAACTAATATGTATATAATTCCTGTTTGTTGCAGCCTTGTAGTTCGGCGCTGAATGTAAGAACCATAATATTTTCAAAGTTAATTTAAAAAATTCGGCTAATTCACATCTAATTATTAGTACCAATGATTGAGGTCTAGGTCATTTTGTTCCTTACTTTTCTTTTTTTTTTTTCCCCCCTTCTCTCTCTATCATTCTTCACAGGCTGTAAAATTTCTAAATTGCACAAACCTTAATTAAAGTGAAGCTTCTCAAGATTGAAAATGCACCGAAAGTGCATCTCTCATTCCGTGGTTGTGTAAATGTTGAAGCATCAAATCTCAGGTTAAAATCCCCTGAGAAAAGCCCTAACACAGATGGAATTCATGCCTCTGGTTTCCGCTAATGTTCAAATCATCAATTCTGACATTAGAACAGGTACCAAAAATAAATTTGAATAAACCATTTGCTTCCTTCTGCATAATATGATATACTCAATATTAATCCTTAATTTTGTGATGTCCTTCACCTCTCTTATACACCAAAAAAAAAAAAAAAAAATGTCTTGTTTGTTTTAGATTAACTCTCTTATTCCCAGCATATTTGTGTTTACCACCGTCAAATAACACTCTTCGGTCCTACAATAAAAGTGAACTTTTTTAATAATGTTTCAATTTAACAAACATAAATAAATGTACAAAATTTTTCCAGAGGTTTTTCCAAATAAGAAATTGGCTACACTTCATTTTAAGTGTAACATACTTCTATTTCTTTTTATTGGTTTTGGTGAGGAAGGTATTACTTACACTTCATTGATTGCACAAATTAAATTTTCGGGGTTATATCTGAGAAAACTATTATTAATGTTGATTCCATAGATCATATTTTTCTTCTACTTTTTTTTTTTTTTTGCCAACAAACAAATTCGCTAACGAAATGTAATTACATTTTTTTGTTAGCTTGCTTGCATGTAAGAATTATCTGAAGGTGTATGAAGTCTCAAGGTTGGTGATCCGGGCAAAAAGAAAAACGGCAGCAATCAAAGATATCACAGCCCATGGATTCTTGAAGTAATTTGTACGGATGATCAGATTTCGTCGCCAACGATTCCAATTCCTCTTGCAATAATAATGCACCTTCACGTCGCTTCGAATGCCGATGAGGCTATCCGTCGAATCCTCCACCATATGCCGATAATTGATATCTAAGACATGTATCTTTTACCTCTCTCCTTATTCTTTCTATTTCTTTATTGACTTAAGCATCGGGGCGTCTACCTTGGGAAGACACCCGAGCCTCTGTCTTGCAGGTTTTAGGCCTTTCACCACCGCCTAAGTCATCATCGCCGCCCGTCCTAAGTACCGTACAAATCCATGCTTCGTTAAGTATGCTCCAATTAATTTTGATTCCTCTCAACCTTTTTTCCTTCCCCATCAAGATAGTCACTAGTCATTATAATATCAAAAAAAGCTGAAGGGATAAGGTTAAACTTCTCGTCGAAAGTTAGATTCCGTAACATGAATTAAAATTTTTGTAAGTCATTTAGTATAAGGTATTGCTATTACTTTTTACATGCATCGCACATGACTTTTCGTTTAAATATAATATAGAAAAAAAAGTGTGTTTTGCTTGTATCTCATCTCAAGGAAGGCATGTCCGGTTTTTATATTAAAAGTAAAAGTTACAAGGGGTTTGTAAAAGTAAACAATTTCATTTTATCTTAAACTACTCCATTAAAGAGGGACTAGATTCAAGACACAAGAAAAAAAAAAAGTCCAAACAGCTTCATATATGGGTTGTTTGTAACTAATAAGTTAGAAAATAATTCAAACGATTAGGGTAAAGGAATCCCAATTTACTTCCAACCGAAGGTAGTGATGATCACATCATAACAATAATTTATGTCCATCCTTTATGTATAATTACCATCCCGGCCCTCCAAAGATGGATACTCAAAACAATTTGTAAAATTACTTTTAACTATAATACCACTTTGTAGTTTGTAATAAAACACAGCATATTCACTCAGTTGTACTGTAGCA